GAGACAAAAAGAAAATTCCCTTTGTGCCCCTAGAAAGCATTCCTTCTGCTTTTTAATGTAGTAAACCACTAAATACTGTGCAAGCCTACATACATAGATGTTTATTTATTTCTTTATTTAGGGCATGGAATTTGTACTTTTGTAAGAGGAATGATAAAAATATTTTGACTAATGTTTAATAACTTATAATTGTTCACAGAGAATCCATTAAATAAGTTTTGAAGTGATGTGTTTCTATCGAAGAAATAATTGATTCATATTAGAAGAAACTAGGAAATTTGCAAAGTATCATACCCCTTCCCAAACTGTTTACAAAGCAGCTTACTTAATTTTGTGTACAAATGTCCTGAGGTGTTTTTCCTATTCCTGTTCTCCTTGGGTATTATTGTGGTTATCAAGAGTAATTGCAAAATATTTTAAGCTCCTACTTAGAGTCTAAATAGGTTAAACACACTACAATGCTGTCCTAGTTAGAACAGCTGGGACCAGTTCATCAGGGTATGGGTGTAACCCAAAACTGTGTCCCCTATAGCCTTCCATGCCATTTCCCAGAAACTGTTATCAATAGACTATTTACACCCTCTACCCAGAGCAGCCTGACTCCTCAGGCTATAAACTGGGTGTTAAGAGGCCTGCGAGATAGGAGAGTGCCCCCTGTCCTCACACCTATTGTGGAACTCCCCACCCTGAGGGAGGTACTGAGCATTCCTGCCTGAACTGGAGAATATATAATCTTGGAGTCTTGGAACTTTTTTATCCACTGGTGGGATCCAGAGGAAGACTGCAGACCACCAGTCTCAACCCGACTGCAACCACCACTCTCGACCAGACTGCAACAGCACTCTCACCAACAGGTTTTCCCCTCTCCTTTTACTTTGGACTCAGGGGCCCCAACGAACACCACTCTGTTCATGCCCCAGGGTGCTGGGTTATACATTTGGGTTTTGTGGGTTAAACCCAATTGTTTCTCTGTATAATCGTACTTATTGTATTATTTTATTAAATTGTTATTCTGACTTATAATCTCTCTTTTGAGTTGAGTTCATTTCCCCTGCCAGTTTACCTTTAAACCAGCACAAGTGCTAAACAATGAGAACTAAACAGGGAAGGAATGGGGGAAGTTAATAATATTTTGCTCATCAATAAAAATTGATTTTGAGAATTTTTATCAATATTTTTATACATTGTGGGCAATTTTATACATTGGGAAATTTGAAGAGTAGATGCAGTAAGAATGGAAGGCAGTGGTACCAAGCTAAGTCTTTTTCTTAAAAAGTAACAGGGAAGAAAAAAACAATGATATCTGGCAGCAACAGAAATGGGTCATTGTCCCAAGAAGTCCGATGATACCATATGTACAACACATGGCAGCAAAGCAGTTTCTTCTTACTTAGCCAACCTCACAATCTATCATAGCTGAGTGTTGACACTGCAGCTTGTATGAAAGGGCACATGAACATCAAAGAAAGTGTTACTGCCTTTGAAAAACTCTTAACTGGTCTGCACGAGGCAGCATTGACACAAAGCTGTCAGCAGAAAATCTTATTGCTCTGCCAGCTTAACTAATAGTTTAACTTCCTGAAAGAACAAAACCAGGGGGAATGATACAGATGCGTCTGATTAGGACTGTGTTTTTTAATTAAGTTGATCTGATTTATATCTTGATCTAATGAATTTTTAGAATGTTGTTTTCCTTTTCTGGCACACAGTAACTGCCCTTCTGACCATTGAACATTGCTTGCAGAAGTATAAGATGCTGATTCTTTTAAAAAATTGATTGTTCTCACTACTTATATAGCACCAGTAGTTTAATAAGTTTGCTGTTTTCTGAGTTTCAACTGATTTCTGAATGTAGTAAATAGAATTGAATTCTAAATATGCAAAAGTTACCACAGCTAAGTAACTAAATTCCAGTCAAGAAAGAATTTAAAGATTTAAAATTGTTATTAAAAGGAGAGAATCTTACACCTGATTATACCTCTTCATGTTTTAAGTTACTAAAGATTAACAAATGTTATAGCTTAATATATTACATATTGTTCATTAACTATTCATGGTGAGTAATAAAGATACATAATTATTAATCTTTAAAGAATTTATAGGTGGAATGAGGTAACTGGATACCTGACAGTGTTTTTTTCTCAGTGATACTACCTAGGTACAGCATTTCAGTCACTTTTGCTTATCTTCCTTACTCAGAGGTCTGAGTTTGTAGTTAGAAACATTTTATCTTTATCACACCAACTGATTGAACGGACAGATTTTGCAGTGTGAAAAAAGACTTGTGTACATGCAAGTTTAGCTGTTTTTTGCTTCCCAGTAGCATGACAGAGCTTAACACAAGATACTAACTTTCTCTCTGACCTTACCTTAATTATATTTTTAGAGCACCGCAGATACATTCCCACTGATAAATTATTAATGTATTATTGGACAGCATTGAATGAAGAGAATCCTGGAAATTCCTATTTCGGTAATGACATGATTGATAATAACAATTAAAAAATTCTCCCTGTGTTGCCTCTCTTTAGCACTCCTTATTTCTTCTTTTCTCATCCAAGAGTATACTTTCTTCTTCTGAAGCATGAGAGCATTATTGCTGCCCATTTGCCACGTTCATTCTTTGTGCCTTTATAAGACCTTTCAGACCTCAGTTTCCCTGGCTGGAACACTCTTCCATAAAAAAGGCAAGTGTAACACCTCAGTAGGGACTAACTGGTCTCTGCTTTTAAGCTTACTGTCAGTAAATAGTGGGTTGTATCTCTCCACTCTGACTCTCCGTGTAACTCATTCCCTGGCATATGGACTTGGTAGTGTATGTAAGGGACTGTGAAGTGGGACAGTGCACAAATTCAGCAGGTAGATATGCAATGAGAACAATGAGTCAGATTTTGAGTGCAAACACAAAATGAGGGAAGCTGAATGGCAAGTTGTGATAGAAAGCCATGAGGAACACAGAGCAGAGGGGCAGAAAGCCCAGCTAAGACTTTGAGTGGGACTTTCGGAGCTGGTTCTTTCTCTAGTGGAAGCCAGCACGTGGATCTCACTGACATAAATTTCCCTTACTTCATTTTACAAACTCTAGAAAGAGTTCTTTTCATGAATACTTCCCCATTTCATCTCTGACTCCCATCTCTACCTCGCCATCTTTGGCGCTGAATTCTCATCATCCCCGTGCCCCCTAGTTCCTTACTTCTCTTGAATTCTACTTCTTTTCTCAGTCCCAATTTCCCTGCTTGTATCTATTAGTAATCATCCTGGTATCTGCACTGCAAACAGAGTTGAGTATCCAGTATTTTCTGAGGGCTACCTTCTCTCCTCATTTCTTCTTTTATTTTGAGAAAGAGGTAATGAATAATTTTGGCAGAACAATTTTGGTGTTGCTTCTCTTCCAACTACCAGAGTTGCCAGCTGGCATTCTTTTTTCTCCCTTCTTTTAAGTACAGCCAAGAGCAGCAGTAAGCTATGGCTGAGGTTTTATGGGCATTCACGTATGACATTCACCCTTAGACCACACAATCTATAACAGAACTATTTTTTTATGCTTTATTGTAAATCATGTTGGCATTTTTCTTAAAATTCAGGGTCCTGAATTCATGCAGTTAAATGGGGATATCATCACTTATTTTAAAAAAGGGTATTTTCACTCCATAGAGAAAATGTGAGCCAAATGCACTGTGAGGACAAAGAAGGAAGCAGAATTATTCCAAACTTGTATTCTTTTTAAACCTGAAAGCTGAGGGAGAAGCACTGAGTGATGACTCTAAAATACTTACCTTGGCAATAGTAGTTAGGCTGTAAGGTCTTTACTCAGTGGTCTGAGCCTGTGAGGGGGGATGCACTACTGTACTGGATTCAGCTGCAACCCAAGCAATATTCCCCCTGTCTAGCAGGATGTATAGTTATTATTTCTTCTGCCACTTCCCAGACCTATATCTTGTTGTCCACAAGCATGACTTGGTGAGCCAAAATAACCCTCTCTTTGCTAGTGACCACAAACAAATCCTGCAGGCTCAGTTCACCAACCTTCTCCAGCCCAGCATCCTCCTGGCCCAGCAGCACCCACCTGCTCCCTGGGCCAGAGTACTGTGCCAAGGCCAGAGGAGGGAAGGACACTGAAGTCCAAAGTGATTTGCATGCTCTTATCGTTTCTGTACAAGGAGAAAGGATGCTTGTGTAACTACGGCTGCCTAAGGAATGAGAGGGAATAACAGAATTACAGAATGGGTCAGGTTGGAAGGGACCACAGTAGGTCGTCTGGTCCAACCTCCCTGCTCAAGCAGGGTCATCCTAGAGCACATGGCACAGGATTTCGTCCAGATGGTTCTTGAGTATCTCCAATGAGGGAGACTCCACAACCTCCCTGGGCAACCTGTTCCAGTGTGCGGTCACCTGCATGGTAAATAAGTTCTTCCTGATGTTCATGGAACTTCCTGTGCATCAGTTTCTGCCTGTAGTCTTTTGTCCTATTGCTTGGCACCATCAAGAAGAGCCTGGCTCCATCCTTTTGGCACCTTTCCTTTAGCTATTTGTACTTATAGAATATCCTTGTGGAGAGGCATCTGTGAAGCTTTTATACAGGAAAATCGAAGTTATCGCAACAGAAACATTGAGCATAGGGGAAAAGAGTGTCATTTTGAGGGGACTTTAGCCCCACTTTTGCCCTTCACGAAGACACGGCGAGACAGGAGCCTGTGCGCTGTCCCTGCGGGCTTCTGGTACGTCAGCGCTGCCGCTGTCTCTGCCTGGGACGTTCTGGAGACCTGAACGGGGGCGAGCCCAGGCTGAGCGCGGGGGCGCGGTGGCAGGGGAAGAAGAGGAAGAGGCTTTTTTTACTTTCGGGACAATTGAATTGCGGCCGCCACGACGGCCCCGCCCCGCGGCCCGACCGGCTCCGGCCCCGCCCCCGCCGGTCCCGCCCCGCCCCCCGCGCGCCGCCGCCGCGCCCGTCGCGCTCGCGCTGCCGGAGGAGCCGCGGCCCGCGCGGCGCTGCCGGGGCCGGGCGGGCGGAGGATGCGGCGGCTCGCGCGGGTGGCGCTGCTGTGTCTGGGCTGCGGCGTCTGCTCGCTGCTCTACGGCCTCAGCCAGCTCGCCCTCTCGCTGGAGCAGGAGCCCGGCGGCGGCCGGGAGCGGCAGGCCCGAGACCCCGCCGCGCCCGGCGTCCGGCGGCAGGCGGGGAGCGCGGGCCGGGGCGAGGCGGGGGCCCGAAGGTACCGGGCGCGGGGGCCGGGGCCGGGCGGGGGAGGCACGGGCGGTGGTTCCCCCCGCATTCCTGCGGGGCGGGCCGGGAGGCGGGAGCGCCGGGCGCCGTCCCTGCCGCGGGCGGAGCGGGGCCGCGGCGCCCCGGCTGTCCGGGGCCGGGGCCTGGGAGGCGCTCTGGCGGGGCGGGCGGCGGTGTCTCCGTGCGTTCCCTCTCGGCGCCCCGCGGGCCGGACACCGGAGAACAGCGGCTGGAGAAGCCTGGAACAGACCAGGCAAACTTTCCGAAGTGGCGTTGCCGTCGGCCAATGCCGCCCCCGTGCGCGTCCCCGCGGCTCAGAGCGCGTCCCTGGCCGCTCCTGGTAGGACAGGGCGGGAGGGTGCATTTCTTTTTTCCAAGCGAAGAAAATTCCAGGGTGCTCGTTCAACTCTGAAATTTGGTAACTATAGAGTTATCAAATATAACTTCATTGAAGCAGAACTTTTTATGGGATACCTTAATACAGCCAGTCTTCTCACAGAGACTGGCGAGTTGATTTCTGCAGTTAAAGGGATGTAAGCGTGAGCATCTCGCACTCTGCAGAGTCACATTGTTCTGTTGCCTGCCTCCTATCACCAGAATTTTTTATGTGGTTAAGCAGTGAGTGAGATTATGGAATGAAAATTAGTAGTTTTCCTTTAGGTTTTATTTTCCTAATACTGTTCACTAGTGGCAATGGGAATCCTAATGCCAGGAAAAGAGAAGTGACAAGGAATCTGTTACTGAAACTGGAGGAGAAATTCAGGCCAGACCTTTCTGGGCCAGCCTACCTCTAGCTCTGCTAAGATTCTAAAGCAATTTAAAAGAATGTGAGTTTAATGGTTTGGAGATGGTCTCTCCTTCCTAATGCTGCACAAGCTCTGGCGTCCCCCACTACTTACACTGCTTTTGCTTGTCTGAGCACACAAATGAGTTGATCTGGCATGTTGACCGGCCTGAAAACCATCTAGTTTTTTGCCAGCTCAGCGCTTTGAATTGCTTCATCATGTAATTATGAAAGTGTCAGTGCTGGTGCAAAGGAACTATGGAGGATGGTAGGATGACAAGCTGTGACTTAATAATCTTAAAATACTATGAAACAGCATTCTTAGTTACTAGGGGTGGAGTCAGCTAAAACGCAAAACCCAGCTTTTGACTGGTGTAACTACTTCAGAGAATTTTTTTCCCTGTGCTTTTGCTTTAGTTCAAATTAATACAGATTATGACTTGAAAAAAATGTGAGGATGTTTGTTTCTCATTTCTAGTTCATGATTAAAAACTCATGAACAGTTGAAATCTACTGGTTCTAAGGAACACTAACTGAAATAAAAGAGTTACCTTCAACAGTTTTATGTAAGATTTTATTGGTTTAATAAATCAGTTTTTAATAGAAATGTGAGGAAAAAACGTATGTATGATATTTGTTTTACTAAGGAAAACATGCAGTTTACACGAAGAAAAATTGTATTAAGTCAATAAAAGATGATAATCTAAATAATTTTACTAAACATTGAAATGACTTTCAAGTGCATCATGCTCCTGGTTAGCAAAAGAAGAACCAAGTTCATTTTAAAAGCTGTACTCTTTCAGTATTTGTACCGAAGTGTAGTTTTTAAATCAAAGATATGAGTGGGGAAGAACCCCAGCAATGTGCAAGAAGCTTCTTGCTGGAGTGATGTCAGATGAGATATAAATCTGCCCTGTGTTGCCAAGTAGAAAAGTTTTACAAACTGAGAAAGTTCTTTTCTAAAGGTCTCAAGTGCCACAAATAATTCCTGTGTATAGTGTCATGGAGGCATATCTCCTTGCAAAATCAGTGTCTGTTGTCACCTCTGTGGGATTTCTTTGCCTGTAGACTGCTGTCAAACTGAAGGCTCAGGAAGAACATCCCCTGTTGTAAGTTATTGAAACATGCTGTTTGTGCAAACAGTGTGTGCAAAATCTAGTGGCGAGTCAGTCCCTTAGAACAGTCCCTTAAAGGCTTTTGTTTAAGGAAAAATTCTGTCCTGTGACAGTTAAGAAATACCCCACTGAATATTCCCTTAGATGCATGTTTCAGTTATTCTAAAGTATTAAAACTGCATTACGTTCACTTGTGTAAGTGATACATGCACATCTTAGTGAATATATTGGTGTCTTTCAGTTTTTATGCTTCAGCTGTTCCTTCAGTGGAGACTGAGCACAGTGGCCACATGGCTGTTATATGCCCACTTCTAACTATCTTGTGATTGTGTAATATCCTGAAGGGTCCATAACCTTATAGAAAAAAATGTGTTCGGATAACCTTCTAATCCTTCTTAAAGTTTAATGTTTTATATGCATTAATAGTAACCTTCATAAATGGGTTTCTTCAGCTGTTTCTCTGACAGCTTTAAAATACACTTCAGCAAAGCAAGTCTATCATCTGAAGGCATTTATGCACTCAGCAGTGTTTTTCTCTTCTCTTTAGCCAAGAAGGGTTTTCTTTTTCTGAATAATCTGGTTTAGGATATCCCATAAGGGCAGAAAGAACTCGATCATGCTCTGGGATGGGGAAGTTGAATTTTCTGTCAGTTTTCAGAACATGCAAACATGAAAACTGCAAGCTTTGAATAAGGCTTTGGAATACTATACCTGGAAGAATTTAGCAATATTGATGACACATTTAAGTAGAAAATAATTGAAAAGGAAATACCATATTGAAACTAGAATTACAGCTTGAGGCAGGATCCTCCAATAAGCATAATAATTCAGCGGAACTTTTTGGGTAATCAGTTTGTTAAGGAGTTGTTTGTTTCAAATGCTAATCTAGCCTGAGGAACAAGAGGACTGAAAACTAAAGGCTTATATCTTGAAACTTGGTCTAAACAGCTGAAAAACCTTTTAAGAATTTAATAACTAAATTAAGGTTGGCTTTTAGCTGTGCAGTGAAGGTAAATTGTCCTATTGATTATTCATTTTAGTGAGAAAAGGAGTAATGAATAGTCAGTACTGTCATAAATAATAGCTAAGTGAGCAGTGGATCTGAACTTGAAAAAAATGAAAGCATATTGATGTTTCTACTTTCAGAAAATACAAAGTCAATCAAAAGGCAGTATATGTAGTCAGCCTTTTTTTCTTTGCTAGTATGATTTATGGATGAAGAAGGTGGCTAAGAAAAAAATGAAATTAAATTAAAAAAAAAATCAAAACCAGAGTACATAAACATATACTTGCTACAGTATATTATTAAATAGTGCTGTAATCTGCTGTCTGTGGAGTATCCATTCAAGTCAGTCTTTTTCCACATGCTTTCAGATGAGTTAATTAGCAGACTGAGAAGTGAACCTTCAGTTAATTTTATCAATATTGCCACTTCAGTTAGGCAGATAATGTTCATCTATTCAGGGCCAAAAAAGTGCTATTCTAATGGCAAGTTTGAGAAATAGAGAAAGAATCAATCTGTTGTCAGTTCTGTGATGTTAGCGAGGTCAATGAATTTGACTATTCAAATGAAACATTTTTCCATTGTGCTGTAATTTAGCATTTTTGCAGCTGGCCACACTGTTTTGCTGTGTGTGACACAGATATCTGACTGTATCAGTCTCTTGCTCTCTTAACTATCCTGGCAAGGGGAGAGTTAAGTGGATTATAGTGCATGGAAAAGTGTAGGAAGTATATCCATGAGCTTAGCAGAGGAGGGTGGCTGTGACAGGTAGTTGGTTCTTTCCTTGACCTGTACAGAGCTGGTTTTGTCTCTATCAGAGCTTAACCAGCAGTTTCACCAGTCTGCTTCTCAGCTATTCTTGAGAAATTGGTCCAGAAGCTGTCTAAGAATTGCAAAAAATGAGTTAAACTTCAAATCATTGAGTGTTTCATCCTTTTAAATTGAAAATTCATTTTAAAAATCTGCCGAATTTGTCAAGCAGTTGACTAGCAAATGTTATTTTACATAGAAATATTTTAAATTAATGAAACATTATTGAGATTTTTCCAGTAAAAAAGTTTGGCATCTGTCAGACATCTAACATTGCTTTTACTGTCTCCTGTGTAATAAAGCCATTGCCTCTATGACAAAGTATGTCATGACAAATTTGTGATATTGCTGCAAATGTTCAGGAAAAGCTATTGAGAAGAATCAGAAATTCTCAGTGTATTTGGGAATTGCATTGAGCATTTCATCATCTCAAATTTTTATTCCTGAGTGATTATGAACAGGAAGGAACTAAAAAATGCTGCTTACCTGTTTTGCTGCATGTTGTGGCTTATGCCATAGGAAAGACACCAGGCTGTCTCTCTTGATTGATTCATGCAGTTGATCAGACCTGGGTTGTTAATGCAGTACTGACAAGAACATAGTACTCATGGCTGCAGCCCTCACCATTTGGACATTCTGCTAAATTTGCTGTGAAGTTACAGTGGTATAAAAGATGCTACATGGATTAAAAAGGGCTCTTTAAACTGTGATCTTCATTAAGAGATTACTGTTGATTGTTGTGGAATTCCTTATGGTTAAAACTTGACTCACCTGAGCACAGGGCCTCAGTCTTCATGACTGCAACTTGTGCATTGCTATGTATTTTGCACAATAATTTAAAAATTTCCTTTAATTCTGAAAAGTTTTCAAATCACAATACAGACACCTTTTCTATGTCTGCAGTAGTAAAATTTTTACTATCCAGTGATGTTGAAGCTAAATTACCTGATAAAGGCAGTTATGAAATGCCTCATTTCTTAAAGAAGAGGTACCTTGAATTGGCAAACAGATCAATGTCTGTGACACCAGTGATTTTTGAAACTTCATATTTCTTCATTTTTATATTTTTGACAATGGTAGATGTTAGGAGTTGTCCACTTCAGCAGTGTGATGGAGGCAAGGCTGCTGCATTTCTATGTTCCTGGGTCCAGCCAGATGAGCATTTATTCTTAATAGGAACATATGCTCTTAGTGCATACACACATGGTTGGCCACAGAGATCAGTGCAGAGAAAACAGCACTTACACAAGACAAGTCCTGATCCTGTTCCCTTCTCTGGCTGATGAGGGTGAAAGGCTTTGGTGAAAAATATATTAAGGTTTATAATGTGGATCCCTCCAGTAACTGATCTTAGACACTCATTCTATTCAGGAACTGCCTCCTGGTCCTCTCTTTTCCACTGTTGCTAACCTGGGTGTGCAAACCCATGAGCCTTGCAGACCCAATTCAATTACTGGTACTCACATCCTTTTGGATGTGCACGCACATGTAAAGATGAATACACTATGGATCTTTCCAGTTACTGTCTTTAGCCTTGTGGCAGCTGGCCACAGGATTGCCTCATGCAAAGGGGTCTTTCAGATAGCTGGCCCTGACCTATAGCGTTAAACTTAGCCAATCCTCAAACCCCAGGTGGCTGGCTTAGACCTTCTGGTACTTCCAGTAGCCATCCCTCAAACCCTAATCTCTTGTGGCTGTGTAAGAGAGATGTTCTTTCAGTAGCTCAGACCCTCTGTTCTCTGCAGAGCCTGACCCAGTCTTATGGCCCATCTGATAGCTGTCTCCCAAGCCTCTTGCTCTACTGGTAGGCTTGTCTTGTTGCTAGTGGTTACATGCACCAGCGTGCACACACCTACATGCTACTTGCACACATGTCTCTCCAGTTCCTGGCACTGCAGGCTTGTTTGCCCCTATGATCTCTGGCCATCTTTTCATTTGTGGGCACTTTGACCTGTGTACATGCACATGGAACAGAGCCACTCCCATCACCCAGGAAAACAGAAACTGAGTTTATTAAGAAGGCTGGTGATCAGGCACACAACGTGGCCAATCATATTGACTGGCAACCTGTTCACATGTGACTGGACCCTCTTATTTTCTCACTGTTTTTTGTGTTCTCGTTCCTCCCTAGTTCACCTTGAACCCACAGTGAGCCCCACACCCCTGCAGGCCGTACTCCCATTAGGCAGTTGGTGAGGTGCTCTGGAGAGTCTTTCCTGTTGTCTCATCTGGTGGAACTTCTGCCTGGTTCATGGGCTCACTGGGCATGGGTTCATGCTCCCCTGAACTGGGGCTGGGTCAGGGTGCTCCATGTGCCTGGGTTAGATTGCTGTGTTTCTTTCACCTGACATTATTTTCTGCTTTCTCTTTGTGGAGACTGTCCTTTAATCACATAACTATAATAGATGAGAACAAAATATCCCTCCCTAGTGGTGAAAGTGACCATTCCTGTCTGACTAGTTAGTAACCTTGCTGAAGTGACGATGACTGTACCTGTTTGATGAACAGATATAATGCATCTCCCTAGCTTTGTAAAGTAATTGTTTGTAGTCTAAGTCTGAGATTTTATTAAAAATAAGAAAATATCTTCATGAATTGCATTTGAAATGATCTTACTGTGAATAACAAGAAGAAAATGCTGTCCAATGATTCCAGTCTCTTAATCCTTTGTATGCAAAAACCTATGGTCAATTGAGAGAGACTTCTGTTGAAAGGAAAATAGTCTTAGTCTAACGTGAAGTAAGTTACAAACATACATATCTTAGTAATGTTTTGGTTTTAAATGTGAAATTTATGACTCGAATCCCATGCTGATAATGTTGTTGTGCTGAACGGAATATTGGAGAGGCCTAGTGTGTCAGAAAAATGACTTAGGCATTACTTCAACCCTGTCTCTTGCCTTGGTAGTTTGGATAGGATAATAGCAGCTAAGAAAACTGCTGTTGACAACTGGAAGAGGAATACCCTGTAATAATAAGACAAGGACAAGGGATCAGACCCAGCCAGCATGGGTTTAGGAAGGGCAGGTCCTGTCTGACCAACCTGATCTCCTTTTATGATCAAGTGACCCGCCTGGTGGATGAGAGGAAGGCTGTGAATGTGTCTACCTGGACTTCAGCAAAGCCTTTGTCACCATCTCCCACAGCATACTCCTGAAAAAGCTGGCAGCCCGCGGCTTGGACAGGGGCACTCTGTGCTGGGTTAGGAACTGGCTGGAGGGCCGAGCCCAGAGAGTGGTGGTGAGCGGTGCTGCATCCAGTTGGCGGCCGGTCACTGGTGGTGTCCCCCAGGAATCAGTGTAGGGCCCAGTTCTGTTTAATATCTTTACTGATGATTTAGATGAGGGGATTGAGTCCATCATCAGCAAATTTGCAGATGACACTAAGCTAGGGGGGAAGTGTCGATCAGCTGGAAGATAGGAGGGCTCTGCAGAGGGACCTGGACAAGCTGGAGAGTTGGGCTGATTCCAACGGGATGAGGTTCAACAAGGCCAAGTGCCGGGTCCTGCACTTTGGCCACAACAACCCCATGCAGTGCTACAGGCTGGGGACAAAGTGGCTGGAGAGCAGCCAGGCAGAAAGGGACCTGGGAGTTTGGATTGACAGGAAGCTGAACATGAGCCAGCAGTGTGCCCAGGTGACCAAGAAGGCCAATGGCATCCTGGCCTGGATCAGGAAGAGTGTGGCCAGCAGGACCGGGGAAGTGATTCTTCCCCTGTACTCAGCGCTGGTGAGACCACACCTGGAGTGCTGTGTCCAGTTCTGGGCCCTTCAGTTCAGGAAGGATATTGAGGTGCTGGAGCAGGTCCAGAGAAGAGCAACAAGGCTGGTGAAGGGACTCAAGCACAAGTCCTATGAGGAGAGGCTGAAGGAGCTGGGGCTGTTCAGCCTGGAGAAGAGGAGGCTCAGGGGAGACCTCATCACTCTCTACAACTCTCTGAAAGGAGGTTGTAGCCAGGTGGGGGTTGGTCTCTTCTCCCAGGCAGCTATCAGCAAGACAAGAGGGCCTGGTCTTAAACAGTGCCAGGGGAGGTTTAGGTTAAATATTAGGAAGAAATTCTTTACAGAGAGGGTGGTCAGACACTGGAATGGGCTGCCCAGGGAAGTGGTGGATTCTCCCTCTCTGGAGGTTTTTAAGATGAGACTGGATGTGGCACTTAGCACCATGGTCTAGTAACCGCAGCGGTAATGGATCAAGGGTTTGACTTGATGATCTCGAAGGTCCCTTCCAACCTGGCTGATTCTATGATTCTATGATTCTAAGAAGACAATAATCTTCCAAACCAGAAAACTGTTTTTGAGAGATTGTCTATTAATGTATCCTAAAAGTATTGAGAAACAGTTACTTTAAAAAGCTACACAGTAGAGATTGTAAAGATTGCTCTTCAGATAAGTACAAGGTCCTAATGTGCCTTGAAGTTTTTAAAAAACTTCAAAAGCCACAAAGGTTGATACAAGAAAGAATATAGCAGAGTGGTTGTATGCCATTGTGGTTTTATACCATTTACTTTAGTAAAGATGAGTTCAGATATCTTAGTCACAGTCTATTTTCATTTTTTTGTACCTCACTATTTATTTGTGGTGAGCGTTCTTAAGTCATGACATAAAATTACTTGAAAACATGTATCTACAGAATACAAGGATTTCCTGTGATCTCTACCAAAGAACTGCATCGCACCTCCCCCCAACACGTAATGAGGCTTTGTGAAACTCTGTGTTTATCAAGTCGTTTTTCTCATGTGTTAAAAAAAGAAGAAATTACGCAGCTTGCCATTTTCTGGTGCCATTATTTGCAAAACATTGGCCTTTACAGATGCTACCAAGATGATGCTGATTTCATTTCAAACTTGCAAAGCCAACTTCCAGAAGAGGTCTGAGCTATAGTCCTTAAATACCTTTTCGTTGGCAGCTTTTGTGTTGGTTTTCTTCTTGCACATGTCTTTCATTCACAGATATTAACTTTCAAGGGAGAATAAGCACTACTGGCTTTGTGTCACCAGAGCAGGGAGCAGAGAAGGGCACACAAGAGTATATCCCTTGCTTTACAATATTCTGCTTGACATTGCAGATCTGCAATCTTGATGTTGATTTTCTCACCAGAACCTTTGTCAATATGCTGCTGTTTCTATTTTTAAATATTTCCTATATTGCTGTTGCATAAATGGTGAACTAGTAAAACATGTTTTTTTAGTTGTTAGTGTAGCACAAGTCAATAAATTATTAGTCTTGCTATTAGTATGGAGGAAAAAACTTGCCAAATGTGGTGATCATTTCTGTATTGCATTAACCTTTTGTTCTGAAACAGTGGAATTCCTTGGTGCTGCAAAGCCCTATTTTTTATTAAAAATCAAACTTGCAGGTTTGTTTTGAATAGAGTCATGGATGAATAGGAATTGTGTTAAATGGATATGTAACTTTGAAAATGAAAAGATATAGTTGCTCCTCTGCTTTGAGTAAACAAAGATATTGAAGAGGTGAAGGAGTTCTTTCTAGCAGTAAGTGTTGCAATTTGCTCTGTTACCTATGGGACTTAATTTAAGCCAAGAACAGAGAAGGACCCTCAAAAATCACAGCCCCTCTGTTTTTTTCTCTGTGAAAATATGTGAAGAGGAAAGGCTAAAGGATGGGACCATTCTTCCTTAAAAAATACTCCTGGTTGGCACCTAATACCTCCTCCTTTGTATTCAAGTTGCATTGCACAGCCAGTTTTCTGTCAAGTAATTAGCTGTTCAAGTTGTATTTGAACTAGAAGATAATACATTTAACTTTGCCATAAAATCAGTAACATTTATATAGGTTATTTTTGTCTTATTCTGTTAGGTGTAAGAATTTGTCTGTATCTTTCTGGAATTCCTATTGGATGCTGCCCTCTGATGTTTGTGGAATGAACTGCTTTTGGGAAGCTGCTTTTAGGTAGGATCTGTTATTAAATAGTACTTTATTATTCGATTGCAGACAGGTGTAGCTGCTTTTTAGCAAGATGACAAAGCAAAACATTTTGATTGCTTCACATTCATTTCACCTGCTGATGTTGTGGTTTCCTTTAGCTTGGTTTTTTTCTGGTACATTATGTTTTAAAATTGTAGACCCAAGTGTTACTACAGAGTAGTTTTTTTTCAATTGTGTTGCTTCATTAAATAGAAACTTGCTAACATCTATTAAAAGCCTGCCTGAATATAGTCTGAAAAGTTAATGATAAATTATTTTCCTAAAATAAAACTTGCACAGTAATACCCATGATGTAACTTGCAATAAAAACTGGTAGATACACTTAGTAGTTAAATTCGGATTTTTTTGTTTTTATTTAAGTTACATGTTTTATAGAATTTGAGGAGGGTACTTCATCCAAAAGCACTGAAACATTTTAGAATGTTCTTTAAAATACATTATATTAAAGCATAGACTGTGTCCTTAAAGTTGCATCTTTGAAAATAAGTTTAAATGTCTTGATGTGATTGATGGTTCATATGCTTTAGGCTGCCAGATTACAGAAGTAGCTTGGAAAGAAACAAGATCCCTGACATTCTCTAACCTGCATAGCTCTCTTCAGTGTATAAGTAAAATTTAAGTCAATTTTTCTTATATTTAAAATTTTGCTGATAATCCTTTCAGATCAGCAGATCTACCTTTTCTTCTTAGTATGAAGCTTGAATATTTCTGGGGAAGCAAAGGGGAAAAAAGTTTAGCTTCACAAGACTCAATGTGTTTTTGAAAATTGTGATTGTGGGAAAGACTTTAGATCACCTATTCCCATATTCTTCTCTGCTTGTGTGTTGTCAGTGCTTTTTAAGATCATCAGTTGCCAAGAAGTTCCTTAAAGAGATTGCTTAGATTGATTTTTAGTCTTTTAGTGAACTGTACCTGTAATTTGGGACTGCTGAGTTTTTCTTGCTGCCCTTGGTAGCCAGTGTGTCAATCCATAGTGATTCACCTGACTTCATTAGGCAGATTTAGCTGTCTGAATGGACTTAATTAACTTTTTTCCTCAAAGGTTAGCTTTTGGGAGTCTGGCTTTATGAAGTTTAGCATAGTGGGATAAAACAAATATCAGTGCTGTTGTGGTTGAGGATGTTGGGGCTTATTTTATGCTTAATGGAGGGACAGGATGTGATTGTAAGCTTCATTTAATCCTTGGACATCTGAGCCAGTCTAACTCTTGTCTGTTGCTGAAAGAGGACAGGGCCTTGCTGTCTTCTGACCCTATTGACCATGATGATGTCCATGAACTCTCCACAATACATTCAATGTAATGCACTAAAATAGTGGAAAACTTCCTTTCTGGATTTTCTGTCAGGCTTGAGGCAAGTGGGACCTTGGAACCAGAAGTGGAAGACCCCATGCAGTTTATTTACACATACCTTAAATTGTAACTTGTATTCTCCTATTAAGAATGCCACATGTGGCTGTGAAGACAAGTCAAAGTATGCATTGATATGACATTACTGGATGAGTCCATTTCCATGATGAAACAATTGCTATGGCGAACCCCTAATATTTGCAGAATTTTGTGTTCAATATTTCATTTTGAAATTGAAAGAAAAAAAGCTACTTAAATGAGTAAAGGGGGTGTGGTGTTCAGATTAATAATTTCAGATTGAATTGGATTATTTTATCAATATATTACTATTAAATTAATCCCCATATATTGTGCTGACTCTGGTGCTTGTTGAATTCCTCAGTGAGATGCTCTAACTTCAGAGTGGGCCAGCATGCTTACCCCAAACTTATTCTTGCTCTGTTTAATGAGTTCAGTTGATGTTGGAGAGATGCAGTGAGTTTGTGTAAGAGAAGTAGTGGGAAAGATGGCAGAGAGAAGGAGAAAGAGTTTTGTTTGACTCTCAAAGGAAGAATGTGTATTGTACTAGGTGCACTGAGAAGCTGAGAGGTACTTCAAATGTGATACTTAGTAGTTATTCTCAGGTTTGCAGTAGGATTTTTGGAGGAAGAGGAATGAACGTACTTGCATGCAAATTTATGAACCACAGCAAGTGAAGTCTAGCATTCTTTTTTCTGAGATTGTATGTGTAGGGCCACTAGAAGATTCTTCATGAAGAATCTTTGAAAGCTTTGTCTGTAAAGAGTCAATATTGTGGTTCTAGATTGGGTATCTTTTGAAATGAAATGATTGTCCTACCATAATAATGTCTTCATTCCAAATAATTTCATTTTGGGTTGACTAAACCTTTGTGTTCATCATAGGTGTGATTGTTGTAGTGAGGTACAGAATAAAGCTGGACTATGAAGAGACTATGATAGGGAGAGGGATATGAGAAAAACCTGAGAGTTACATATCTGATCGAAATCTAGGATAGCTAACTCCACTGCTTATAAACATGCCAACAAGATAATGGGAATCCCAATGAATTTCCTTGTAATAGAAATGGCAGAGCCTTGTCACTGAAATGCACTAGCACATATCTTTAATCTATTTGGCCTGATTTAATCCATGAGAAGAGAACAGCACTGTTTAACCAGATCATAAATCAGTTTGTGAATGGAGTTTCTACTGTTCTATTCTTGCTGTTTCAATAAATTAACCAAATGAGAAAAGCAGATCATACAGCTAGAATATCTTTGCCAATAGTACAGTCATAAAATCTATCTCAGTGTTAGAATGTCTCCTTTCCATTTTCCAATGAAGTTCGTAATATGTTGGGAGGTAGTCCTTCAGCTTTTTCATTTTTAAGCATTTTTGTCAAAAAAACCTTAGCTTGTTACCTCTCTGTTTCTAACTTGAAATTCCAGTGAGCTTTTTTTTTCCTGGATATCAGAACCACAGGGATTTGTTAGTCCATGAGAGAAAGAACTTGGCACAGACATTTTTGAAATGCAGCTTGCTACATCATTTGCTCTGAGTAGCTCCAAGTGTATAAAGTGAAAACTAATGTTTTTTGGATTTGTAAGATTCAAGTACATATGCTAGAAGTGTTGGAGACATATAGAGGAATCTGGACAATTTTTAGGAGAGAGGTGTATATATAGACTTCAGTATAACTCATGCGATAGTTCATTTGAAATCAATGAGCTCTGAGCAGGTGCTGATTGTAATAATGGATAATAAGGATCTTGTCTCTGAGTTAATCAGTATAATATCAATTGCTTATTCTGTATGTGGGAAGAATTTCGTAGCTATTCTGCCCCCACATTTTTTACCACCATTCTGATTATCAACTTTATTGAGAGAGAATGTCTTGTGTTGTACTTCTGACACAGAGTATTTGTTAGCTTTCACATTGACACAGGAAGCATGAGATCGCTTTTACATACAGTGGTATGGATTTTATCAAAATTTTAAAAATGCTGATAAAGGTAACAGGCTCAAGTTTTGCATGGTCTAAATGATGCATATCTCACTTTTCAAGGTGTTCGGTGTCATCTAACTGGAATGGCTGCTTATTTCCTACTGGAAATTAAGAAGAAATTCTTACGGTTATTACTATGGCTATCTGACCAGCCTGATTTCAGTTGTTGCATGTTGACTCTAAGTGGATTTTAACTTGTGTTGCTTACTAAAAAAGAAAGTTTTTCTAATTTTTGAGTATATTGATGTTCTTGTGGTGTGGATATAGTGAGATGAATTGTGATAGTTCTGAAAAAAGGGACTTCTCTAAACTAGCTAGCTCATTAGAGGATAAGATTTCAGACTTGTAGTCAATTTAAAATTATTAATATATTGTAACTTCAAACCTAATCTACTGAGTTGGCAATTGAATAGATTACATTTGGATGTTATATGCAGTGGTATCATTAGCATACTTTTACAAAATAAGCTCTGATTATGACATGTTTTTAATTCAGTGCAGTAGTAGAAAGTTAAGCTGAGTAAAAACTAGAATTTTCATCACTTTAAACTCCAGATAATGTCTGTAGTTACCTTCATCCTACTTCTAATAAGTGTGGGAATGATTTAACAGCTGCATTTTAATCATTGTAGGCTTTGCTACCTTCTTCCTTCCATGCTAATTGTAGAAAACACCTCTATGGGTAAAATATTTGCACTGATAATGTGATTGGCTCTTTATACCGAAGAAGAAAACACATTTGCAGGAGGCTTCTGTTTGTTCTTTTAGTAAGTGTAAACAACTTTAACACAGCTGAGCCTGACAACCTAGTTCATTTGGTTATAATATCAAGGAAACATTGTTTAATGGTGTTATGGAAGGACTGAGAGACTTTATTAAGCGACCTCGTTTAGGAAGCTGAATACTGGATACCTCACATGTTATAGACGATTCAGAGAAAAGATCAAAGAAAAGCAAGGTTGCTGTAGCTTTTTCAGAACAAGTGTAGGAAAACTTGATGTAGAATAATTTTTAAAATGTTTTGTGTAACCTACGAAATAATTCTTACTTTTTTGTATTACTGGTATGTAACACAGTGGGGGTACATAAAAACTAGCGGTGCAAGTTAGGATGGTAGCAATTTTCTCAGAAAGTGAGAAATATTTTTACATAGTTCAAAACTCATGCAATTAGATTCAAAATGATATCTCCTCAATGAATGGACCAGAGTAAAATTTAAAAGGACAACTGAGGTCAATTTATTGCTTCAGTTCTTCATACAACTCTGCTCTGGATGCTCACCTTTCCTTCCTTGGCTCCCCCAGACATGTTAAGGCAATAGGAGAGGACAGCTTGATTACCACCGTGTTTGTGTAGGGAGCTTCACGTTGACCCCTAGGAATGTTCTTGGTAGTACATCAGCACATGAGGAAAACAGGAACCCTAGTGCACCAAGTTTGTAACAAAGTAAGGTGGACTGTGGCTACTTTGTGCCTTTACATAATAACAGTGTGTCTATACTTGAATGTAGCTTAAGAAAAGGGGAAAAAATCGCCCTGTTTGCACTGACACTTCTTTGAAGGTACCCAGATCATGCTGTAACAATGTGGCTGCCCTGGAAGGTATGGAGCC